GGGGCGAAATTTGGGCCGATCGAGACAACAATGTCCTAGGGGGTCCGGGGGCATGCCCCTGCGAAATGTTTGTGTTCTAGACGCCCGAAAATAACAATTGAGGCGTTGTGGGCTATCATTTTTTCTTTTTCTTTTTTTTTTCTTTTTTTCTTTTTTTAACCGGGCCGCATACACCAAATCCGCCCCTGAACGTTGCAGGCATGTAACGTGTTTTAACATTAGTTTTTCAAAAGAAAAATTACTTTTTAAAAAAATGGTTTAGTTGTATAATCAAACTTTACTACGTCAGCTGACGTAGTAAAACATCCATCACAAATGGAAGGCACGGTATCCTAAACAGTCCCTTCCTCCAAGAAAAAAAACCCATAATCGGACCCCGGGCAAAGATCTCACCGACAGGCAGTATTGACGCTGCATCGGTTGTGGCGATACTGCGCCTTGACGTCGACAACAAATGGAGGTCTATTTATTTATTTAATTATTTCAACAATCAGGAGGGTGGTCCATCCAGCAGAAGCTGATCATTAGGGACCCTTAGTACACATAGTAAAACAAAACAAAAGAGAGTATGAAAATAATTATTTAACAGTAGTATACAGCAAATAAATTTAGACTACAGTAAGTAGCCCATATGAAATAATCAATAAACAAAAAACAAATATAAAATAAATAAAAATATATAGATGAGGAAAAAGAAAAAAAAAGTGACAATCTTTTAATTATTAATTTACAAAAAGAAGTAATTTAAAATTTAAAATAAAACTGAATATAAATTATGAAAGAAAATCTATAATTCTGTCTCATAAACATGTAACTTCCGGTATGACATGAAGAACGGGTGATCGGGTGATCGCCAGAACCGCAGGTTCTACAATTAGATAACAATTAAAAATGAAAATAAATCAAGCAGGATCAAAAAACGATTTAAGTAGGTCAAAGAAACAGTAAAACAACAGAGAAAGAAATATATAAGGTTAGAATAAAGTACCCCTAATCAATAAATATGTAGAATACGTTGATTCGTTGAAAGACAAGCCAATCAGTCACGTTTTTCAACCTTCGTATTTTTCTCTCCATTGTCTCTTCAGATCATCTGTTTAGTCCATCTCGTGTGTGGATTTTAATCATCAGTCCTCTCTAAATCCTGAAATAGTACACACATGATTAGAAGGCTTTCTGCTGGTCCTAAAATGGGGCACTTTGCTACATCACTGAACTCTTCATCCTGCGTATACAAATTCTGGCGCCTCCAGTCTCCCGAGCGCATTGGCTCCCGTGGCATTTCAGGTAATTCTTTCTAAAGCACGCCAAATTCACAAACGTTATGTAAGGGGTGGTCAAATTAACTAAGGTGCCAAAATATAGAAAAATACTAACATTAAAATGGCAATATTAACCAGATGTGAGTCATGTGCCGTAATCCCGCTATACGCGATGCCTTTGACGATAGAGTAGGTAAAGGCTGATCTGATTCATAGAATGTTTAAAAGTACATACAAATATCTAATCACTGTGGAATGCAACGAAATGGGGGTAGTACGGTACTGGTACTAGTACCGGTACTTTTTAGCCGTTTCAAACATTCGGCAGCCATTGACATGGCATAGGCCTAACATCGATTATCTCAGCGTTATGATTAATACGGTAATAAGACACGAACATAAGAAACAGTTCGGCAATTTATCTGAAATAGATAGATTTCAATATTTCAATTATTTGATTGTCATATAGGCCTATTTTAGGCACGATACTGTTGGTACTGTTCAGAGTAACAAGGATTATAGGCCTAAATACAATTGTAAATAAATTAATATTATTGTCTCATTGCCACAAACCGCCTTAATAAGGTTATTGACGTGTAGAAGTCTTGACATTGGCCTACAACAAACATCAACCCAGACATTTTCATTAAGTGACGTATTGGTCTGTACTCCGAAAGCCGCAAACATCGCTATTTGACATAGGCAAATCTAATAATGCGCAGGCTGCGTTTCGAACAACACTGAAAAGTTCGTAGCCGTTGTTTTGGTAAGTAGGTAGTTGTAGCAGGGTAGTTAGTTGACGTCACTAGTAACGCTCTATGAAGATGACGTAATTTCAACAACCATTCACGAATCACATTGAAAAGGTAACATATCTTCGAAATGACAATACTGCTTGTGACGTTATAAACGAGGAGCATAGCCTTTGTCAAGAGATCTAGCTATAGGCAAAGACTCGGACGAGAGATTAGGTCAAGGCTGATCAATACACTTCTTAAAAGTAAATACGATTTTAACCATAATGGTGTATAAAAAAACGTGTGAGGTAGAGGCCTAATAACCTCACATAAGTTAACGAATTCCGATTCATAAAAGGCGTAAACCTCCTACGATAGTTTAAAGCGTGGTCAGATATGCTTGGCTTATAAAACAGCATTTATTTTCTGTTTGTTGGGTGTTTATATCTATCTATTGTTTTTTTTCTATTAAAATGTTATTATTATTATTATTATTATTATTATTATTATTATTTATTATTACGATTATTGATAAAGTAAGAGTAGTTTTACTGGGTACCCTCGGGTAAAAGATTAAAATCACAAACCTTTAGAACAAATAGATAGGCCTATCTCAACTCATTCGTATCACTATCAGAATTCTTAATCAAAATATCAAATACGTTTTAGGGTCTGATTATAATTATATTATATATAAACAAAAACAAAAAAACAAAAAAACATCCTTCAAAAAAGAGCTCTATATAAATGCTAAAATATTATTATAATAATAATAATTATTATTATTATTATTATTATTATTATTATTATTATTATTATTATTATTATTTTTGTTGTTGTTGATAGGGCAAATATTAAGGTCTTTCATAGCCCAATTGTCAGAATTCAGTGCGCAAGCATATAGATTTATACGAACACAAAAGAAATTGTCTGGGATGATTATCTCATCATCCTAATAGCCCCTTTACTTTTGTCCAGCTCATCACTCTCTCCTCCCCCCAACTAATAAAAGCTGACTTCATGCACTTTCACCAGATAGCTTGGGTTTGGGAAAAAGCAAAACTACTTGAAACTCAACAGCTAAACCTAGAGGTTGAATTCATGTACGTCAGACAAGAAATTTGATGACAATGACATTGCAGCACTGCCAAAAAAAATTTTAAAAAAAAACTTCCGCTTAAAGTTAAACATTCAAAACACGTAGTGCGGGCAACACAATGAACTTTATACTGGGTGTAATAGTACGCTGGGTATTATATGACGTAAAAAATGGAATATCCTTTTGTCATGTTTACGAAACGTTTATGTTTTTTCTCGTGTAGACTGTTGTAACACGCACTTCATGACGAAGGCATATATTATAGTTAAGCAGCTAAAAAGCTGCAGCTGAGTGCATTTATTCATTACCAAATTATAAAACTTGGCAGCGGCTGAATAATCTATGATACTGAGGCCTATGAATATGTTAATTCTGAATAAGTTTAACATCTCACTTGTACTATTAATCTTTATTCAGGCCCCAAAACTTTGTTGACTCAGAAATACCGGAATGGTGTTCGGCGGGGTATAGTATTACCTCTAGAGTTCTCTTGATTAGGCCTTAATAATTGTTTTAAAGATTTAATTATCCTTTTATTTAAGATGGTTACATGTTAAAAGCTCTGTTTCCAATGTAATTCCTTACTTTCCTCTCGATTTATGCTTTGTTTTTCTTTGTTCTTGCCTTTATTTTTGAAGGATGTAATTACTGTATTAAATATTAAGATTAGTCCGGGGGTTTATTACAGGCCCTGGCGTCCTTGGTTCCCGGACACTTGTAGTTTAGTAAGTAACACGTGAAAAATGTCGTCGTCGTCGTCATTACATCTCATGTAATGTTTTAGGCATTTCTACTGTAATCATACATGTGAACATAAATGGTACTTTGTTAAATAAATCGAAATCCAAGTGATGCCAAGTCTACCATGTCGACGTGACGATCTGTTATTTTGATTGCCTATTTATGGTATATTTTCAACCGCAGATTGTAGTTAAATTTGTTCTCTACATCTTTATAGGCCTACACTTCTAATGAAACAGTTTTGCCAAAATTGACGGAAATTATAACTTTTACTACCTTTGGCCTAGTTATTGATATAATAATTTAAAAAACAAAAATACGCTATTAGCGCGCTCCGTGCAGTGGCGTATCCAGTAGGGGAAATACTGGTGTTCCCTCTCCACCCCCACCCCCACCACAAGTGGTCCCAAAAATCACACTAAAGTAGTTAAAAATCACCTCAAATCCCTTTATTTTGCGAGGTAGCACACCCTCACCTAATCATCGAGTACCCAATTCACCTTAGCGACCCCCAACAGTCCAACCCCCCCCCCCTTGTCCAATTTGAAGACTTCCAGATTCGGCACTGGCTCCGTGTACCAACCTCCATGGTGTCGCTACTGTCCAAGATTGTCTAAAACGCAAAGAGGGCGCTACCCATAACAGTGGCGCAGCAGTGGTGTGTTGTCTTATCAGAAGATATGGTTAATATTTTCTAGGATCGTGATACAAAGTCCGATGTTCCCATGAATTGGTCAGCCATTATTTTGTCTAACTTTGAATCATTCTTAAGACCACAATAATCATGAAGGGATCAAGCATCTACATTTTGAGTATCTTCGTATTTTTTACAATTGTTCTAGCACCAACAAATGCCTGTAAGTTGTTATTTTATTTTAAGAATCTATTTCGATGTGTTTAATTTCTTTTTTTACATTAAACTTTCACCATAAATATATCTGCTTAATAAAATATTTTAGTATTTCCTTGTACATTATTTTATTATCAATTTCTAAACCGTAGCACGAAAGAGGTAATTTTCAATTTGAAATCTGTCCAGGTTTTCAAGATTGTTTAAATCCTTCTATTTTTAAGGACTGCATCACCGTTTTCAAGTAACAAGACAGTGCATTCAAACATATATATAAATACATAAATAGATATTAGATGCTGCTTAACTTGCATAATCACATGCTCTTTGCGGTTCAATTAATTAGTAATGATATACATCGTTTTGGATAAACATATAGGCCTGTCAAGTCCACTGCAACAGTAGCTTCAATTTCAACACACGTCATTATATAATGGTCAAGATTCATTTATAAATATTATGAAAAAAGCATAAGAGTGGGAGTTCATTCTAAAGTATTTTAAGTCAATCGTGACGTCATCACTATTACATTCCATGTTATTTTCATATTCTCAACTGTGCACTAATTTTTAATTAGTACACGGTTTGCTTGATCTTTTTTTTTTCGGTTCGTGTGCAAAAAAGTGAAAACAACTTGCACAGTATGTATCGCGCACTAATTGCCTAATACAGTACAACCATTTTATTTATCTGAACAGGGAACAGTGAAATTAAATTCACTGTTCCCTGATCTGAATAAGCGGTTTTTAAAAATCTACAGTGTCGACAATTCTAGTCATTAGCTTGATTTACATGTTATTGTGTACAGTATTCCTAAATATTAAATAATATGGTTGTTGCCCAAAATAATCATAATATTAGTATATTTAGTATTATATTGACCTTATAAGTCTTGATACTTAATGTCATTAGTTTGTAGTATCTCGGAAAGACTGTTGTCGCCCCTGACAAAGCTTCCAAATGTATATATTGATATCAATAGTATTCATTTGAAACATTTAATTTCCTCCTTTGAACTATGACCGAGAAGACGATTTGTTTGAGATGGTAATAGAGAAAAGTGTAAAATAATCAAGGCAATAAGTGTTTTTTTTTTTTTTTTATGGCAGTCGAAATTTTATTTTTAGAATCCGAACTGGTAATTGCTAAAATTGAATTGTTAGAAAATTTCTGACAAGGAAATCTTATATTGTGTTAAAAGTAATTAGTTTTGTGAATGGGAATAGAGGGTTCAGACCTAGCCCTAGTAAGGGGTTCGAGAAAAGAGATGAGGCGGTTCTGCAAGACAGCTCTTGACTGAGGCTGCGCATCTTCAATTGTGGTAGTGGACCTTTCCTATCATTCGTCACTATTTCTACCCCTCCTATAATACTCCTACACTTTTGGAGTCCTTGGTCGGATTTACCCACCAGAAGCAGAACATTTACAGAAATAAAGAAGACGACGGAGACTACGGTGGGGCAACCGATATAGGCCAGATAGCCCTTTGAATGGATTGAATTTTATGAGGTTGGAAGGGTAAGCATTAGCCCTGTCAGGAAAAGTTTGGTCCGGGGCCAAAATCGGTCTACCAGACCGATTCTGGCTTCAAAATTACCTGCCAAATGTAGTCCACATAAGCCAAAATCAGTCCGGCGCCTATTTAGTAGTTATAACCTGTGAGTTGTGAGTTTCCTACCTATCCGATCCACGTCCAATGCAGCCTGAGGCAGAAAGGCAAGCCTGCTCGTGACTGGCACTGCGCGTCTTAAACTGCGGTGGTGGACCTTTCTTTCGACAATGATTTCTACCCTTCTGCTTTACTCGTACACTTTGGAATACTAGGCAGTTCGGTTTTACCCACCAGAACCAGAAGAACCGGAATGCAGATTTGAAGTTCCAGGGTAGCGCGAGGGAGAGCTGGGGGTAAGCGACGGTGTCTTTCCACACCTCTCTCCCACCCGCAAGCTGGACCCACCATGCTATTGCACATACTTTCTAATAAAGAATGTCAGTTTTTAAAATAGTCCAATTGCTCCACATCTCCCTAACTAAGCCTTGGCCTAGTAGGCCTATTCTTCCTGCGCGTCTAGGCTAGCGTAGGTCTAGCCCTACATTGTTAGAATGAAAAATACGCGGCTGGTTTGAATAATACAAGTGATCTAAGACTAGATCATCATGCCATAAAATCATTGATACAATAGCAAGTGTTGACATACCTTATGACTGGCTGTCTTACGGCCTAGCTAGCTAGTAAACCAACTGGAGGTCTTATCACGGTACAAAAACCGCAGCCGACTGATGATGATGATGACAAAGACTATGACATTAAGTATTTTGATGTCATCGACGTTGCATAGCTCTGCACTATCCTAGTACCTCGTCCTGTAAAGAAATAAACTGTGAGGGTAGTGTGTGGCGCAGACGAACTCTCCAACGTTGCGGTAGGCGGTAAGGTATTAAGAATTACATTTTAATACCCTTTCAATGGAACGCCAACTATGTCACTTATAATGTAAAATCTGCGAAATAATACTAAATTTCCCGGTTTTCGTTATTCCGTAGAATC